ACACACACACACACACACACACACACACACACACACACACACACACACACACACACACACACACACACACATAGACATGTACATAATGTCATTCACGTATCGACTCCCTGGTGCACAGAGAAACTGGGCAACACACACATAATGTCGTTTGGGTATTGGCTCCTTAATGCACAGAGTGACTGGGCACACTGAAGAGCAGTCCGACCGGCGAGGACAGCGAAGTCATGGCATTCTGACTTGTGTTCAAAGCATACACACACTGGCCCTACCTATCTCATCCCCAAGCTTTGGGGTGTTCCCAAACTTTGGGCATTTTGGGGGGGAGGAAAAGTGCATGCTGAGGAGGCGCCCAGTCGCACTGCACCCTGCTTGATAAGGTCAAGACCCTCTTCTGCTTCACGAGGACATAGTAACGGCTACCGATCACAATGTCTGAAACTCCATCTCCTTTTCAGCTGCTACCTTCTTCCCCTGAATACAATGTACGGTCATTATAGCTGTCGGTATTCGGGTTACCTTTCAGTCTAAATACAGCTATGATGACCGTACGTTGTATTCAGGCGAAGAAGGTAGCTGCACACTTCTCAACTTGTAGGAACCTAAAATGCTTTTAGTTTCTATTTTGTCTCGCTCTAAATTATAATCTCCTTTTCCAAATTTCCACTGCCTTGCCGCATTTGAGGAGACCTCCTGACGTGTCTTGAAATAGATTGCCCTGCAGCTGTTCAGGGTGGAAGTTTTTTTTTTTTTTTTGAATAGGCTCAAAGGTTTTGAGGGTGGGAAAAGCATGACATTCTCTATGTGGGGTGCGGTGTGACCGTGCTGTTTGGAGGGGTGGAACTAAGGGCAGTGCGAGTATGATCTGTACTTAACTAACAGTTGGGGCATATTTACACACACTACCTTCTCCCCATAAATAGAACATACGGTCATTATACCTGTATCTTGGATTGAACGTTGTGCAAGGATCCAAGCCCCTTGGATGTGCAGAAAAAAACCTCGCCTCCCCTAAGTGAAGGTGGGCCAGGCAGAAATGAAGCCGGCCCTAAAAGGAGTCCGGCCTGCGCAAGGCCCCTTATAGTTGGTTGGCGACAACCAACCTCTGCAACCAACTTGTGGGCCCCTACTCTGAGTTGGTTACAGAGGCCGGGCGTGCACTCAGACCCAATAGGCTTTGGGGACTGCCTACTGGGACAGGCTGAAGCCTGTCGCAGCCTCCCTCATCCAGCACAAATGTCTGGGAGGCCGTCGTGAGAAACACAATCAGGCATTTGGCAATGCAGCAGCGCTGAGCGGGCAGAGGCTGAGTGCTACTGCCTGGAAGGAGGTAGAAGCTGCTGCTGTGGCAGCAGGGAAAAAGGCACCAACCATAGCTGGCTTGGTGCAGAACGGACGGGTGGTGGAGTGTGGAGGTCGAGGGAGAAGGAAGGCAGGCAGTGGGGAACGGCGATAATTACCTGGTGATGATGAAGGAAGCCTATAAGAGGAGAGTCTTCAAGCAGCATTGGGCGATGACACGTGGACAGAGCATCGGCGATTCAGCATGTAGATAGGCTAGTCCGATAGGAGATAGGAAGTAGGAACGGTGGTATTGCCACCAGTAGAGCTTTTACATTGCCGTTGCTTTTGATGATTGAAAGCGGGTGAAGGGGTTTCTTTGTCAAGATACTTCTCGGTGTATTGTCCGCTCTTAATTGGTGTGCATTTTGCGTTGGGATTTCTGCTTTCACTTCGGCTCAATCATACCAGATCTTCCGTGAGATGTCACAATCTGTTTTTCTGCTGTTCTTATTGCATGGTTCCTTGCAGTTGCGCCCCAAACGCAGCTGTAATGACAGTACGTTCTATTGGGGGGAAAACGGCAAGGACATTCGTGAATGTGTCTATAAAGATTATCACGTTCATACTCACGTGCGGAAGGCCATAGTGTGAGTATTCCCTTTAGCAAACGAGCACAAGGAAGTGACGAACAAGCAAAGATTGAACAATTTCTCAAAGTCAAACAAATCGAAAAGAGAAACCAGGGATTGAGGAGATAGAGATTAGCCAATCTAGTCCTGAGGCGAGGCAGTGTATAGGTGTTGATCATCAGGAGTTCTCCTTACCAGCAATGAGATCTTATCTTTCGAAGCGGACCTTAAGTCTCCCTGAGCCCTAAGACAACGAAACACTTTCTTTCCCTCTTCATATGCCATGAACTGCAATGCCCCGTGAGAAACCTGTTCCCACCCAAAACCAAAGCGAGACAGCAAAGAAAACAAACCCCAACACAGAGAAAAAGAGTTTCAATTCCAAACATAAAGACAGAATCACAACAAAAACCCAAGCCCAGTAACAAATATGGGAAGAAACCTAGGCTGTTTGTCTTAGGCACCTGTGCACCCAACTTGTGCCCGGATACACGCCTGACTGCCTGGCCAGGCATAAACCCTGGGCAAGGTTCCGGACGGACCCGGCACCAAAAAAATAAAAAGAACAAAAATAAAAAATTCAGGAAAAAAAAATGCTGTGTAGAATTGCAATACAAACGTCGGACGGACCCGGCACAAAAAATAAAAAAATAAAAATAAAAATTCCAGGGAAAAAAAATGCTGTGTAGAATTGCAATACAAACGACTTTTGGCCGAGGGTCACATCAGAATTGCTCACGGAATCGGAGACAAAGAAGAAAACAACAGAATCAGACTAAGGCACCCCCCTTTAGCTCCTTGAAAACCAATTTATCTCCCCCCCCCCCCCTTGACAGCCAACACTTGAAAAAAGGAAGGAGCCCAGATTTGGGTTCCTCTGGCAGTGCTCAGAAAACCTCCACCCCCCACCCCCCAAGAAAAAGAAAAAAAAGGAGGCCGATTCTTGCCTGCACGGGGTGCCCCAGGCGACTTGCCCAGGTTGCACGGCCGGGCAAGCCAAGTAGCCTAGGAAGAAACGTCATATCAGAGAAATGAATTTCAGTGAAAGGACTCAATCAAGGATGAAAAAAATGAATGCCATCACACAGTAATAAAAATGGAAAGAAGAGAAAAGGCATATCACAGAAAATGACTTGTCCAATCACCCGCACAGAATCAATCTTCGATTTCTGCCGTTTTCCCAAGTCTCTCTATGTGATGATTGCTGTGGCATGGACTAGCTGTGTCCTTGTGCTGTATTCTCTGCCCCCGGAGAGAGAGATTACTCAGATTAGAAATAGATATTTCTTTTACTCACTTTTTAATAAGTTTTTATCGAATATAACTCCCGCTCAATAGATATTTCTTTTACTCACTTTTTAATAAGTTTTTTATCCAATATAACTCCCCCTCAAATAGAATGCCCCGGCATTATAGCCGTACTCACTTCTTCATAAGTTTTTTGATAACTTTTTATCAAATATAACGCCCCTTCAAATAGAACGCCCGGGCGTTATAGCCGAATGTAACATGGAAAGAATGCCATGTACGAGAGGGCGGTAGGCAGGGTAAACATGGGGTTGAAAGGGGGTTGAACTTCACAAAGGGGCATGCTCTGGTTTGCTTTTTCTATTTTGTTTTGTTATCTTTGAATTACTAAGGAATTCTGACATGACCCTCCACCAAAACTTGTTTGAATTTTGAATTGCAATTATACAGGTATTTTCAACAGATCTTTTCAGCAAAGTTGGTACCAATTTCATGGATACAACTCTGGAACGCGTTGTAGTCATATACAAGTTCTGGGCGTTATTTTCAGTTGACAATGGCGGTAGAATAGTAATAGCAGTAGAGCGGTAGTGGTGGTAAAAAAAAGACAAACAAACAAACAAACAAGCCAGGTTCATCCTACTTGAGACTGGATGAATCATCAAACCCAACCTAACCCTTAGGCACTTCACCAGGCATTCATCAAACCAAAGGGCGACTTCCACCCACCAATATAAGGCTTGGGTACAAGCCCCTGTAAAATCCTCGGAGTCCTTCCTCTTTGACAATGCATCGCACAGCATCTGCACCCATCAAAGTGCAAACAACAGCACGGTTGGATAATTTGCTTCTACACATAAAACTTTGATAAAAGCAAAACGAAACACAAAAACAAGAATAAATTAGGGCACAAAAGGTCAACCCAATCTCAGTCAGACTCTAAATTTTGTTGATGTCATTCCGTAACCAGCTGTTCAGTGTCCTTGCCGAGGCCGGGGAAATCATGACAATGAATGTGTGTGTTATTGTGTTTGTGTGTGTTTGTGTTTGTGTGTTTGTGTTTGTGTGTTTGTGTGTGTTTGTGTGTGTTTGTGTGTGTTTGTGCGTGTTTGTGTGTGTTTGTGTGTGTTTGTGTGTGTTTGTGTGTGTTTGTGTGTTTGTGTGTGTTTGTGTGTGTTTGTGTGTGTTTGTGTGTGTTTGTGTGTCATGTCTCTTTATCTATGTGCTTCAGAGGAGAGGGGCGGAGGGGGGGGTCTGGGGGAACAAAGTGCAGTGTCACACTCACGCACCACACACACACACAGCAAGAGCAGCATACATGCCAGAACACAGACTCTGCACGTGTGCAAGACGTGGCCATAACTCACAGCATACAGAGGAGTTTTGTAGATGAGAACAGCAAACAGTAAAATCTAAGTCTCAGCAAGTCCAGACAATGTGAAATGAATCCCTAGAGTCTCTGCAGCGATACAGCAACCACAGCCCACAGCTTATAGCGAATAGATGACCCCAGTCACGGTGCAACAGTCCGCCGCCGAGCAGAACTTGCAATCAACTCAAGGGCTCTACATATTATGGACACCTGAATCACAGAGTTCACTCGGAAGCATCTAGTAATAACTTACAAGGAAAAAAAAAATGAGCCAGAGTGGGAGACGTACCCACCCATCAACTTACCCGTAAATCCCTTATAAGGTCGCACATGAGAGCCCGGTTGTTGCAGCTGCAGTCGAGTCTTCACCACCCAAATTGGATTAGACACAAGGCAAGTCTGTGCACCAAAACCGCAGACACCAACCACACATGTCCGCTCACACATACCCACAAACACACACAAACAGACAACCACAAACACTAACACCCACTTGACGCCAACATGGCTTCACCCCCCCCCCC